TTGAGACGCTTGTCGACTCGATGGATGTGCACAATGCTCTAACCACACTGGATCCACCGCTCCGGATCGATGATCGTGATGGTGAGTTGATACCAAAAGCCTTGCTATAATTCTCTTAATATTTGGAATCTCTTTTTGCAGTCTGCATCAGCTACTGCATGGACACTGAGAATCGCCAGATATTGCCAAAGGATACGCAGGAAGGCAGCATTCATAGCGGTGCTTTGGCCGCTGTACCACCTTCGGATGCGGGCGGTGTATACACGCTAGCCGATGTGCCGCGCCTGGCCGAGTACAGTGCCTCGCTTTATGCATCTACGCCGGCCGAGCATGCCCATTATGTGCAGTATTACACTGATTATTATTTGGCTGAGATCAAGAAGGGCGGCGGACAGCTGGTTAGCGGCGGTGACGCTCAAGTGACCGAGGCCAACTCTGGGGCCGCTGTGGCTCTATCGGCCATACAGCGAAAGCAGAAGAAGATTAATAGCATAGAGACGACAGCCACAGCGGCGGCAGCAGCTGCAGCACATGCAGCTGCTGCGGTGAAGGCAACCTTTGCAGCACAAAATGTGGTCGCGCCTAGGGGCAATGATGGCAAAACCTATCGTGAGTAGGCAAATCTCTTTTATGTACATGCACCTAGTTTAATTGGCTAATTTAATAATCTTCCACTAAAGCTACGCCCGATGTATCTCGCTATCAATATGATGAAACCTCCGGCTACTATTACGATCCCAGCACGGGCTTGTATTACGATGCGCACTCGCAGTACTATTATAACAATGAGACGGGCGCCTATTTGTACTGGGATCAGCGGCGGAGCACGTACATATTGGCCACGCCGGCATCAACGCAAGCTGCACTGGCCGAGTCACTGGCCCAGGAATCGCACGCTGAAAAGGAGGAGGAGGCGGCTAAGAAGGAGAAGGGCAAAGACAAGGACAACAATAAGCATGATAAGGTCAAGGTGGCCAAGAAAATCGTCAAGGATATGGAAAAGTGGGCCAAACAATTAAATCAGAAAAAAGACTATACTGTGGTGGCCACACCGCAGCCCATATTACCTGGACGCGGTGATCCCGGCGAGGGGCCGAGCACATCACGCGCTGCGGCTGGCGCCTATGCAGACGTGGGCTTCTCTATACTCGAAAAGAAGGAACGCGGCAAACTGGGCGACTATGTGCCTACGCCAGCCGCTGCACCAATTAATAAATTGGTAAATGCCTACGGCGGTGGCTCCGATTCCGATGAGGACAATGGCGGCGCTCAGGGTGTTGGCGGCGGAGGCGGCAACGGCGGACCTGTCGATGAAATGGACTACGTAGACTTCCAAAAACTAACCTGTCTGCTGTGCAAACGTGCCTTTCAATCACATGATATACTACAGAAGCATTTAAAAATGTCCAATTTACATAAGGAGAACTTGGCTAAGCTCAATATGGACCGCGGTGCCGGCGGCAGCAGCGAAGATGCAGCGGGCGCGGGCCTATCGTAAGTCTTAAAATAATATAACATATATATTTCATTTATAAACAAACTCAACCAACAGCTATCGTGACCGTGCCAAGGAGCGGCGACTCAAGTATGGTGAGGGCGATCCGCCGCCGCCAAATCGCAGTCGTGAGCGCTTTGAACATGAGATCAAAAATATGCAGACGCGACAGAAGGATGGCGGTGCTGCGCCCGCCTTGCCCATCAGCTCGAATAATGTGGGCAATCGTCTGCTGCAGAAGATGGGCTGGTCTGAGGGTCAGGGTCTGGGACGCAAGAACCAGGGACGCACGCAGATCATTGAGGTATGTCCATAAAAATAAAATTGCGTTTATCAATTACGTAAATCTTCCAATTTACAGGCCGAGGCGCGCTCGAACAATGTTGGACTGGGCAACAAGAGCAGCACTCTGGCGCCTGGTGACGATTACAAAACATACATTAAGAAAATGATGAAATCACGCTATGAGAATGCTTGAATTTAATTGGTTATATATTTGGTTCGATTTGATGATATCGTTTGAATTGTGCATACAAATTGTTTACCTCAATTTTCATTACGTTACATGTCATACCAATCGCATAACTTAGCTGAAATACGTTTACTTTAGTAATCATTGTATATAATAAATATATATAATTTAATATATGAAAGTTAAGTGAGTTTTGTGTTCAAACGTGAAAAGTGATCGATAACAAGCGATGAATTTAACTGACAAAACCGCTAAGCAGTTGGTATTTTTGGTGTGCGTATTTTGGTGTTTGCAAAATGCGGTCACACTTGTCTGCGTTAACATATTGTTTACGTTTTGTGTTGCACGTGTTTTAACTATATTATTATTATATATAAAACAAGTGTGTGGCAAATGAGTTCCAGCAAGATACCGCCGTTGACCTACAAGGTTGTGGCCGAGTGCTCCGTGTCCAAGGCGCGCGCCGGCCTCATGACGCTGAGGTATCTTTGCAAAAGGAGTGTACTTTGTATTTTTTACTAAATATTTGTTAAATATTTGTTTTTTAGGCACAGTGAAGTGCGTACACCTGTATTTATGCCCGTGGGCACACAGGGCACTCTGAAGGGCGTGCTGCCGGACCAGTTGATCGAGCTGGACTGCCAAATTGTGCTGGGCAACACCTATCATCTGGGTTTGCGACCCGGCATTGAGACGCTGAAACTTGCCGGCGGGCTGCACAATTTCATGGGCTGGCCACGAGCCATACTGACAGACTCGGGTGGCTTTCAGATGGTCTCGCTGCTGCAGCTGGCCGAGATTGATGAGCGCGGCGTCAACTTTCGCTCGCCGTTCGACAACAGCGAGTGCATGCTGACGCCGGAGCACTCCATGCAGATACAGAATGCCATCGGGGCGGACATAATGATGCAGCTGGACGATGTGGTGAAGACGACAACGACGGGTCCGCGCGTCGAAGAGGCCATGGAGCGCACCATACGCTGGGTGGATCGCTGCATTGAGGCGCATGCCCGCGACGATGATCAGTCCCTCTTTCCGATTGTCCAGGGCGGCCTGGATGTACCGTTGCGCGAGCGCTGCGTGAGCGCCCTGATGGAGCGTCAGGTGCGCGGCTTTGCCGTTGGCGGCCTGAGCGGGGGTGAGAGCAAGCATGACTTTTGGCGCATGGTGCACGTGTGCACGGATCGACTGCCGCGCGGCAAGCCGCGTTATCTAATGGGCGTCGGCTTTGCCGCCGACCTGGTCGTCTGTGTGGCCCTGGGCATCGACATGTTCGACTGTGTCTTTCCCACGCGCACAGCTCGCTTCGGCTGCGCTCTGGTGGACAGCGGCCAGATAAACCTGAAGCAGCAGAAGTACAAGCACGACATGCAGCCCATTGACGAGGCGTGCGAGTGCAGCACCTGCAAGCGCTATACACGCTCCTACCTGCATCACATTGCCGCAAGCGAGACCGTCTCCAGCTCGCTGCTCAGCGTCCACAATGTGGCCTATCAGCTGCGCCTGATGCGCTCCATGCGGGAGGCCATTCAACGCGACGAGTTCCCGCAATTTGTTCGTGATTTTATGGCACGTCACTTTGGACGCGATCCGATACCCAGCTGGATACGTGAAGCTCTGGCAGCGGTGAAAATCGAACTGCCGCCCGATGCGGCACAGGAGCAAACGGCGAGCAGTTGAGCCTGGTATTTACTCTATATGACTAGTATGCAAATGAACTTAATGTGTATGCAACAAATAGTATGAATTCAATTTATTTATCTATTTTCAAGAAACTCATTATATTGTTAGTGTATTTAAAGGCCATGTTACCTTTTTTGTTACGACACGTAAAAGCTTTCGGCACTCGTGTCTGGCTTCAAAAGCTCTTTGCTTACCTATGGGAAAAAGCTTAACACACATGACGCATGCGAGACATCGAACGCCGCACGAAGGAGGATCAATTTATATTCAATGTGTACTCTATTCTTGCTTTTCTTTCATGCCGTATGGTACTCAAATGTGTCCACAGACATTCAGACAAATATGTGTGTGTGTGTGTGCAAATACATTGTATGTACTTGGTTGTGCTGCTGTTCAAATGTTTCCTCTCCTCCCTCCCACGACAAAAAGAAACGTGCGCTTTTTGGGTATTGCTCTTTTGCTCTTTTGCTCTCTGACTCTCACGAGCGCTCGCATATGCGTCAGAGACGGAGATCAGCAGGCATTTTAACATTTGACAGCAGTCGCGGCCAGTCTGGCTGTTTAGTGTGTCTCAAAGCGTCGTCATCGTCGGTGATCGCGCGGTTGTTGTCGTTGTTGCGCTGTAACGGTTTTTGCAGGCGCTCAGTCTACGCATTTCAGCGGCCATTGGCAGTTAATACACATCCCCGTCTCGCCAGCTTTAAGAAACAAACGTGTTAATAATATATAAAAACAGATTGCAAATTTGAATCCAATACCAATTGTAAGATATTATTGTTGTTAATTTATAGCCACAATCAATCACAACACAATTGCAAGTGCGTGCGTGAGTGAGCGTGAGTTGATGTTTTTTGTTGTTGCTGCTGCTGGAGTTCTTGGTGTGCGTGCGTGTGTGTGTGTGTGCGAGTGTGTGTGCTGGGGCTTAACGTGCTACGTTCTGCCTGTTGCCAAATGTGGTCAAAGCAAAATAACAAAAATATATATATGTGCACACACGCATATACATGCATATTTGTATATGTGTATGTATTTATTCAAACATTCACACAGAACTGTGCATTGTAAAGTGCTTTTTATGGCTTGAAATTTTGCGAGTTTTTGTCGCATTCGATGTTCTTTGCATTTCGTTTCGTCGAGAGCTTTATACGTCACAGCAGCCTGCACAATTTCTTATTGGATTCTCGGCAGTACTTAATGTAACGGGCATTCGCGTTAACCACACCGCCCAATTGGACTCTCAATACTTTCATATTTGTGCGCCCATTTACAGAGACAGAAAATCATGTGCAAATTAGGCAAAGTCCAAGGCCCCCTAAGAAGAATTTTCCTTTTCGTAGGAACATTTTCACGGTTGGTTCGGAAAATTTCAGTTTCTCTTTATTATTTGTATTTTACTAGCCATCGTTTTGCCTTTGGTTTAGCGTGTGTTTTTGATTTTTCATGGTTTCATTTCTTTAAATAAGTTTTATTTTTAGCATTTTTAGTTATTTTTGTGTATTTTTTTTTCTCACCAACTTTTTGCTTCTGTTTCTGTTTGCTCGCTTGATTATTTTCGAATATTCTTGGCGATTCTTTGGAATATACACAGCGGCCACTTGGTAAATACATACATTTTATGTGTGTGCGAACAGATTTGTGTATGATACGCAATTTGTTGTGCCGCAATACAGGGTGTAAAAGGGCCTGGAGCTGCAGGTGAACGTATCCAATTGGAATGTTTCTTATACATATGAAAAAAAGTCGCAGCCTCCAGCTGTCAAAAAAAGCTCAGCCAAATGGAAACTGTCTGGTAAACTTTTTTTTTGTTTACGTTTCAACTCCTCTTTAACGCTATGCCCAGAAAGCCGAAAGTCCCATTGGCCACACTGTTTGTTACAACAAAAGAGATTATAAAAAAGGCAACGATTATGATTGAACAAAAGAAATCAAATAAAATAAAGATTGTTGGCCTCCAAAAATTTAAAAAGCAACAAAAAAAAAAAAATCAAGAGTTTGCCTTGCTGTACGTGCTTATGAGTGTATGTGTGGGGAAGAGTATAAAAACAAATGGCAAATTACCAAGAAGAGAGTCGCTGCCGCAGCAGCGCTAATCATAATCGTAATCACTTACCCACACACACACACAAACACAGTTGTACGCAGCCAGACACACATGCAAACTGTCAATCTTTACCGTTAGCAGTCTATCGTTTCTGCAGCTTTTATTTGTATTTTTAAATTATGACACACAAAATAGCCTCGTTCGCGCTCTCTTTCACTTACTCTCCACCACTCTCGTTTAAATAACAGAGAGCGCACACAACTCTTTGAACAGCTGCTGAGTGGGCGGCGCAGACGTAGGCGGTGGCCGGTGCTGCTGTTGTTGTTCTTGTTGTTGTTGTCGTTGTCTTCAAATTTGCCACACTTGATTCAAATGAGCCGCAAAACGGTGCTCGTCATAAATAGGCAAAGAGCAGATAAACACGAAGAACTGCTGTGGCTGGCAATTAAGCGCAAACTAATCGCAATGCGGTTGGAAGAAGCAACACATAAAGGAAATATACTTTAGAGCTTTTTTTTTGTTGTTTTTCAGTTTCCAGTGTTGTTATTGTAATTGATTGATAACAATTTTTAAGTGTTGTCACGGTGCGTTTAACGAGTGTTGAAAATAAAACGTCATTAATACATGTTCCCTAATTTTGTTCCTACTTTCGAGACAAGTGTTAATCAAAAGTGTTGCAAAATTACATTTTGATTAAATTTTGATCTTGCATCAATATTTATAACAAATACAATTTGCATACACACACCGAAATTATTCCATTAGCAATAAAAACATAACGAAAACTAGTTTTCAGAGTCGTATGCAAATTTTGGTAGCCAAGTTTGAAATTCTAAAAATCTATTTTGCGTTTTTAATAGTTATTCTATGCAAATGGCATAAATACACGGTTTATTGCTTGCTTACGTTTCAAATACAATGCCAAAACAAAAGGAAATTGAATATAATGTAAAGTATTTCCATGTATATTCCGAAGTGACCAAAAAGTAAATAAAAATTGCATAAGTTTTCGAGATTTTTTTTCTTTTTTGCAACAATCTTGAACCGAAAGCAACGTCGTTGACCGCCCCCTGGACCCGAGTGCCATTCCAAAATGTGATTCATTTGAATGAAACGGCTCGCACATGTTTTCTCCAAAAATATTTCGTATTGCGATGTGGGAGTCTCCACTGTGGACAGTTTTTTAGCTCTCATTTACGCTTAGTCATTTCGTCTATTTTCGTAACGGATTTTCGGCTTAGAAACACCTACAATGCAGCATTCTGGAATCAAATGTTGGTTTTTTAAATAATATTATAAAAATATTATTTTTTGGCCATTCGAGTTTGTTTGCCTAAATGTTATGCTCGGCTTTTATTGATGTTGGCCTTTTTTTTGGTTTACAAAAAATATGTTGTTGTTGTTTGTTTTTGCGCAACGTGGGTGAATAAACTTCACGCTGTTTGACTTTTTTGCCTAATTTTAAATACATCAAAAAAATAGCAAAATGGCAACAATAACAACAACAAAATGTGGTTGTCAATGAATGAAGCTGTTGTTGACTTTGAAGCGGAGAACGAGAGTGAATGAAGGTGCTTTGTGCCCAACACTCAATGCGAATCGAGTTGGTCAAGACAGATCGAAAAAAAAACAACAACAAATATTCAGTTCACTAACCTTGAAAACTGAAACTGTGGTGTTTTGTGCTAAAAAAGTGTTGGATAATTCATCGAAATTGTTAAATTTGCAGTCGAGGAAGCGCCAGGTGTGCATGTTAATTGTACGTGAAGTGCATTTTGTTTAATTAAATGCCATGACATATTTCCTGCTTCCAAAACAATTATTGGCATTCTTCGGCCGATCATCATTCCAGCAATTCGTTATCAATTGGAGTGACAAATTTCAGAAGCAGAGAGTTACTTATAAGGGAACATAGTACAAGTTCTCAGTGTTACATATAATAAAAGTTGCATTTAATAGTCAATTAACACTGAGAAACATTTTTGTGTTTTTGTCGAGCTTACATTTTCTCACTCACTTCAACACAGAGAGAGAGATGTTTCTGTCCTACACAGCTTTTAGTGTTTAATGCATCCCGACAAAAATGTCATTCTTTAAGAAAATGTATACAGAGGTGCAATCAAATTGAAAAAGTTACTTAAAATGTCGTGAATGCATGTGCTCGTTATTCAATACTGTTACCTTTAATTGATATTTATTAACACTGTTAGTGAGCTTTTCAACTGCTTGAGTACTTGGAATTTAGATATTGATTAAATATACATTTTTAAACCCTTTACAAATAGTTTTTTTATAATTTTTTATTTTTATATAATGTCATATTGAAACTATGCTTGCAAATATTGTTTTTAGCATATTTTACCTATATGTTTCCAGCCATAAATTATAACTTTAAACTTGTCCATAAATCAAACAATAATATTTGTACATACATATATATTTATATATATATATATATTTTTTTTTAATTTTATTTTGCCCAAAATGCCGTCGGATGTGGATTTGAGTTGCGTATTCGCTTGCAAATTTATGAGTCAAGAGGCGTTTGCGATCATAAAAAGTGGATAAAAGTAAAGCGCGGCATTATAAATCAAGTTCAATTCAATTAGAGCGCATGGGGCGCCATAATTTTTGCGCTGGCCTCATAACCTACGACAATTTATTAATTTTAGCTCGCACAGATATGTCTAAAGTGTAATTGTTGTGCGTGTGTGTGTGTGTGTGTGTATGTTTGTTTATACGTGCCACTGAATAACTAGAAATTGAAATTGCATATGCAAAAATGGCAAAAATATTGAACTAAAACCAGCAAGAAAGCCTTAAGCTGCACTAAAACATACCCTATACTGATTATAGACCTGAAAATGGCACCCAACTTATTCAGAAAATATTAATATGTAAATTTATTTATTTTAATTTTTACTTACATTTTCTTGTCATTTATTTGTAAAAACAGTTTATTGAATTACCATATTTCCTTTTTCTTCTAACTTGACTTTATCACAAAAAAACCTTTATCTTGTGGCTGTTGATTGTTGAAAGTTTTCTTCAATGTTCACAATGATTAACAATATATTAAAATAAACTAGAGACTTGAAAACTTCTTTACATACCTATCTACAACTTTTAACATGCTGCTTTACATAAATCTGTATACTAACAGGGTATGCACAACATTAAAAGCATTTCAATATTGCTATTTAACATACATACAGCATATATTTCTGTAGCTCTATATGCATATGAAATTGCCATAAATTGTTTAACAAATGTTATATTGTAATCAATAAGCAACGAATTCGATTTGCCGTGTGTGTCTCTGTGTGTGTATATGTGTTAATAATTTATGCGGAAGTCTCGTCCACACAGAAACATGTTGTAATTGTCAATGCAGGTGAGGGATGGGTTGGATATGAATACTCTTATAATATTCGCATCAGCATGAATTTATATCCATACAACCCTCATTATTTTGCACGAACAATGCGAATGTTGTTAATAATTCAATAACAAACACCAAACGAAACGTGCGCGAAAAATTTTTCAATTAAATTGTCAAAAGGAAAATCATAATCTTTTGCATATATATAGCAATCGGTATGGAAAAAGATAGAAAATAAACATATATTCACCTTGCGTAATAATTTTCAAGAATTATTTTTGGACGCACGCAAATTTCTTATAAAAAAAAACAGAAATTCGCCAGCGCCAAAATGTGTGGAAAAATTATATTTATGGTCGCGACGCGATGGCCTTGCCTGATACCCGAACGCCCCAAACGCCCCACGCCCACGCCCCAAGTCAATGTGGCACACATTTGGCACGATTGAATGATCGATAAATAGATAGATATCGGGGCATAGCAATTATATGCATATCGCATGAGAATATATTACAGACGACAGTCGACAGTCGAGCAATGTCTGGATCGCTGATCAATCGAGCAAATTGCGCGCATTATTGACAGCGCGTCCCCCCATGAGACATCGTATTTGGATTCAGATTTGGATTCAAGGCAGCAAATTGGCAGCAGACATTTGTGCTGAAATTATTGTTGTGTGTATTGTCAAAGCAACAAGTTGAGAAGAAAACAAAACACAAAAAATGTGATATTCCAAGATGAAATCAGTTAAACTCAAGGCTGGCAATTGCATTGAGACTGGATTGTCAGGCGTTGACATGTTGAATGTTAATGAATCGGACTTGGGAATGTCATTAATTTCAACTTGAACTTGATTGAGGGCAATTGAAATTATAAATTTTCTGGATATGTAACTGATACACATAAGAAGAGCTTAGTTTGTTCATTTTGAATGTTGCTAAGCGAATAAAATGCGCTTAATGCTAATAATTTTAACATGTTTTCAACAAATCTATCAACTTTAATTTTTTAAATTTGAGTAAGAAATAGAGGTTTTCAATTCCAAGGGTTTTTTGTATTTAATAGCCTTCGGGATAACCATAGCTAGGCTTTTGTATAAAGTTAACAGTGCCGAGGCTCTGTTAATCTGCATTGCCTCTGTTAAGTAGCTTTGTCTACAGCTCTGTTAAAATTCATTTTTTGCTAAGTAGTCTTAAGTTAACCCACCCCTCAAGTTAACAGTATGTTAATGCAAGCCTTAGAAGTATGTGAAATATTTATTTTATAAATACAATTAACAATTTCTTTGTTCTATTAAATAATTGCCTTATATTAATTAACGATTGCTGAATTTGATATGCTAAATGCGGCTCTTTTGTTGTGGCTTACATAAAATTCTTCTCAATTTCAAGCTCGATTTACTTTTCACTATGAAATGTCTTATTTATAGTTGATTATATATTTTGAATGACTGCGCCTAACCGCAACTAGAAGAAATTAATAGATGAAGCATATTGTGTTGCTTTAAGCGCAAACCAGGAACAGTTCGAATATGTATATAGATGCTACACAGTGCTCTTGCTCTTAAGAGTTTTCTATTCTCAGTGATCTGCTGTTGTCAGTATTTAATGAAGACATTCATAAATGTCATTGTCAATTCTAATTCTTGTGCTTGTTTGAACTCAATTGAAATTTTAGCGCTTTGGCTAAGGTCAATGCAAATTGGCTAGCGCACAGAATTTCATACTGTCTGTACATAAACATATGAGTATGTGCTTATATAGAGTGTATATATATATATGTATATATATGTATCTGTATGGATATGTACTGAGTCTTGTGTATATTGAAAGAGTTTCCCGGCGCTTGTGTCTTGCCGTGCTGTGCTGTTTATTTGTTAAATGTTTTAGCGGAAAATAAATAATATTAATTCTATTTGTAGTTTTGCATACGCAAATATTTAATTTAAATGTGCTCATAAATTTAGATATCTCTCTGTACTCGTCGTCCGACTTGCTCAACAAAATCTCCCAATCTTTGAGCTCTGAATGAGCGTGTGTGTGCGTGTGCGTGTGTGCGGGTGTGTTGCCTTTTCTGTTCGCTCTCGTATGCTAAATTTAACAAAACGTGTGGGCGTTTCAGCATTGAACATGGCCAAGGCTTGTGACGTGCTATTGGAGGCGACTATCATGATAATACTTATGGGCGATTTTCATGTTTCTAGACGAAACTTATCCAACGTAG